CGCCGCTGTCGCGACGTCTTATACACACAATGTCTTCGCATCGAACATCGAACATCCGAATGTTCTAACGCGTAGAAATCCAAAATGGCGGGGAGCCGCCAATGTTTTTCCTCGCCGTGTGTCACATGTTTTCTTTATGTTAGTCACCCGCGTCTTGTCCAATATGAGGCGACGAGCAAGGGGTGCACGCAGGAGACGGTTGAGATACCGGGACATGTTGCTGACACGTCGCGCCCTGCTTACCTCCCCGCTGCCATTGCTTTGGCAAAAGGTGGTGATCCTGTCCACCGGAGGATCTGGCGATACGTTAAGAAACCCGCGACCTTTTGGCAAAAATTTGTTCAAGGCACACTGTGCGACACAGAGTTTTACAGGCGCTTCAGGATGTCGAGGGGAACATTTTAGATGCTCTGTGACAAACTGAACCCTGACCTCCCGCTGTCGCGAGTTCTCTATACGCACTTTAAGTTGTCGGGGACTCCCGCTGAGTTGTCGGCCGACAACTTTGGAGCTGTCGTCAGAAAATTTCATGACAGCGGGACTACGCTGTCGGGAATCCTCTCTAGACGGCGTTCCTGCTGTCGGCGTGCCGCTGTCGGCAGTTACCGCTGTCGCGAAATGCTTCGTCTAGAGTGGGCCTTAGATTACCCCGTACGATTCTATATTCATTCTTAACAGTACTGCATGCCCAATGATGTAATTTTTATTATTTAAGGCCACAGCAAGTACATTTTATGGATGGCGTCCTCCCCTCCATATTTTATGCGATACGGCGAACCCAAACAAGGCGTGCTAAAAAACACAAGATTCCTACATCTTTAACTTTTGAGATCATAAACCTTGGAACACTAGAACTGAGGCGACATACCATGACATCACAATCATCTGACCTTGTAGATGTGTATACATCTCAATTAACAAATGTTCACCGTCAGAGACAAAATTTCTTTCTTTTTTTCAAAATCAGGCGAAAATCAATGCCATCCATAAAAATTATGTTATCCATAAAAATTACTTGCAGTGGCCTTATAACCACATATACACAAGAAGGCGAATAGTACTTGCCAAACTTTATTTTCTGTACTGAAGACAAAGATTGTTGAAATGATAATTGAGCTTCATGAGTTGTTTAGAACAAAGTCAGACCATTTCGTGATTTTTAGGGTTTTGACCACGCTCCGCCGCAGCGTCGGAAACAATCGTCAGCTTACCCCACACATTGTAGCTAGATCGCATGAGGGCTACGTGTATTACATGCAATACATAGATAGATCGCATGAGGGCTACTTGAGTTACACTGCATATCCTGGGAATGAGAGTAGACGGGCGGGGTTAGATTGCTCTGACGAATCAGGGGACGACTTTCGCAAACAGACCTGGGTACGGGGTGGAGAATGCCAAAACTCCCTCCGTGGCTAAGTTCCTTTCGTGACTATTCCCTTCTGGGCAAATTTAGAGAGGTAACGGTACACCCTAGCGTCGCCAAAGAAAGGTACTTTGTATAGGTCTGTTTCAAATAGTGTATTACCACTGTGACAACATTTTATACCCCAAAAAAGTAATCTTGCGTCTTGTTTCAGACCCGCTACGGTAGAAATAATGCAGTGTCAGATCGCCGCCGTGTACTAGTATTTAAACGTTAACGTTACGTACTAGCGAGCGCGCACGAAAATACCACCCAAATAAAGTAGGTTATCACAACCCTTTAGAAAGACACAAAGAAAACAAAAACGACAGATTTGCATTAAAGAAAGTTTATTTTCCGTAGCTTCGGCTAAGCCACGATCTATAACCTATGGCTTCTCCACGGGCGCTGGGGACGAGCGTGGGGTTTTTACAGCGCATTGATGGCACATTTGGCAGGTTGAGCGGTGCACGGTTCACTCAGAGCATTTATTAATACTTTCCCTGTGTTTCACTGTGGCTTCTGTGTAGCCAGAAGGGTAACTATAACCAAACTGTTATTTTCCATCCATATTTCATGTAGGTAAGAGTCAGTCTGGAGAAGACCCCGTGCTGACAGCGGGTCGGCACAGCTTCCCGTTCCAGTACCAGCTGCCCAGCGCAGGTCTGCCGTCCTCCATCGAGGGTTGTTACGGCTACGTGCGGTACCGCGCCAAGGCCGTCATCGACAGGCCTTGGAAGTTCGACAAGACGGCAACCAAGTATTTCACCGTGCTGGACATGTACGATCTAAACCAGGATCCAGACGCGATGGTAAATAAACAACCCCTGATAGATATTAGGCCATGTTGATTTGATTATATGGATGACATCCTCCGGGAACCCCAAAATTGATGCGCGCGTGCGAATAAAAAAAAAGTTTTGCAAAAAAAAAAGTTGTTTTCATTATGAAATCTACGTGGTCATGAGGGTTGAACAAATGGGACAGAATATGGTTTGGTGAATAATCTAGTCTTCAAGTTCATTTCTTTACAATTTCGTCTTTTTTCGTTTGATTTTGGCATTCTACGACATTGGTATGGTTTTTTGTAACTTACGGCATATTTTTGCTCATTTTGCAACTGTTTTGTACGATTTACAGTATGGTTGAAAACTTTTTTTTATGAAACGGCCGAAAATTCATGCGCGCGCGGATGTCATCCATATAATCAAATCAACATGGCCTTACTAGTGTTAATGAAAACCAACGCGTTGGTCGGGGTCTCGGGGACATTAATTTTCTAAAAAGAGAGCGTGGCTAATAACTCAAGATGACGTCGTGATTATGTCATCCACATTTGCATGAATTATTGTCTTACACTAAAGTACTTACACAACAAGAATTCCGAGACTTCATACCTCCATGAAATATGGGCTTGATATGTAAATGTATATTTTTTCCTCTTTAATTATGCAAATTACATCCGCATTAACATGATATATGCATCGTGATGTATGTTAACTTTTGATTAACTTACAGATGTCCAAAGTATGACATTCCCATTGTTCACCATTAAGAAATCATAGAATTTTTGCATAAATTATGCAAAGTAGGTCATCATTTGCATAATTAGTATCTGTTGATGTTCTGCCTGCCATAGGTTACATACATTACATGTATGAAAGTAGTATAATGTAAAACACTGTAATCATAGAATTTCCTCATTAATTATGCAAATAAAGTCCTCATTTGCATAATTTGCATTTAATCATGTACATCTCTCTCTCAGCTACCTACACACCAAACATTATGAAAATATGTTGTTCCTATCTGGACTTATTGGCTTTTAAACATTTCGCCAGAAAGTGCCATGCAGTTCCAGAACAAGCTGCTAGGGGGACCAAACTCACACCACTTATCCCTGACAGGAAAACCAATCTGTCACCAAAACATCAAGACCACAGCATGTTCAGGACAAAAGATACAAAAACCGGAAGTTCTGCTGCAGTACCAAGGTCATCCACCAGGAGGCCCATATTTGACCTTGACGTTTGTCTTCCTAAGACTTACCAACATACCAAATATCATCATAATCCATAAAGGCGTTCTGAAGTTATGCTGACCACAAAGTTGCGGAAACACACACAGACATACATACATACATACATACATACAGACAGACGCCGCCGAAAACAATACCTCCATTTTTCATGGAGGTAAAAAATTCAATCTCCATACGTAGCCCTAACTAGTATTTTTAAGATGTCACCAAAGCCCTCAGACACACTTCCATACCACATTAAGGGAAGGCCAATTATGCAATTCTAGTCGATATAAGTATATACTTAAGAGCAAATGTCTGTAAGGATCAAACAATGGTGGCAGGGGTCAAAAAATCGATTTGGCTCAAATTTTGCACAGTGATAGTACTTGGCCCACAACCCCTCAAAATAGCTTTCTTTCTGCTCCACACCGATCGTTGCCATGGTAACAGCCCAAACATGTTTTGGGGCCATTTTCCATGATTTGGGCATGCCAGAAACATGAAAATTGCCAGAGTTTAAGACGCGATTCCAAATAAATGCTTGAATATATCGGAAAGACAAAAACTGTGCTGAAAGGCCCAACTTATCTGCTTTTCTAAAATAGCTTTAAAATTTTCAAGAGGTTCATTTAAAGGTTCTAGGCATCCCTAATACAATACAGTGTTTTGGGCTTTTGAAATATCCCTATTTCTGCCCATCTTTGAAGCGCCGTAACTCCAAAGATGGTGATTTTTTTTCTTTCAAAATGTAATAACAGATACATATTTATATGTGCTATAAAATGCATGTTTGTAAAGTTTGGCCAATTGTTTGGTTCTTACGTGGTTGTCCTCGGAAGTAGGTCATATTTTACATTTCAAGAAAAATACAAATTTTTGTCATATTTAAGATACAATATATACAATACAAAAACAGCAATCTAATACCACTTTAGACAATAAGTAATCCTATTGATTGTCTATCAAATGAATGCTTGTGGAGGTTGGAGTCTTGTTTCGTTGCTGTGTACTTGTCCCTGAAAGCAGGCCATGTTTTGGACATGTGTTAAAATTATCATTTTGGGCTATCTTTGAAGCTTTAAAACTGACAAAGTAGGATGTTTTTTGGATCCAATCTTTGTAGGGTAGTACATACATGTATGGTGTATCAAATGATATCTTTTTGAGGTTGGAGTCTTGTTTCGTTGTTGTGTTATTGTCAGAGAAAGTAGGCCATAGTTTGGACATGTGCGGAATATTATCATATCTGGCTAGCTTTGGAGCTTTATAACTAACAAAGTAGGATGTTATTTGAATTCAATCTTTGTAGAGTAGTAAATATGTCTATTGTGTATCGAATGAATTCTTGTTGAGGTTGGAGTCTTGTTTCGTTGCTGTGTAATTGTCCCAGAAAGTAGGCCATATTTTGGACTTGTGCTTAAATTAACATTTTTGTTTATCTTTGAAGCTCTATAACTGACAAAGCAGGATGTTTTTTGGATCCAATCTTTGTAGGGTAGTACATACTCGTATTGTGTATCAAATGATATCTTGTTGGGGTTGGAGTCTTGTTTCGTTGTTGTGTACTCGTCCCTGAAAGTAGGCCATAGTTTGGACATGTGCGGAAATTTTCATTTTTGGCTAACTTTGAAGCTCTATAACTGACAAAGTAGGGTGTTATTTGAATCCAATCTTTGTAGCATAGTACATACATGTATTGTGTATCGAATGAATTCTTGTTGAGGTTGGAGTCTTGTTTCGTTGCTGTGTAATTGTCCCTTAAAGTAGGCCATATATTGGACATTACAGAAATTGCATAGTATACGGCTGTTTTTGAAGCAGTAAATATGACAAAGTAGTATTTTATTTGAATTCAATCTTTTAAGGGAAGCACATAATCATATGCATTTTGTATCAAATGAATACTTGTGGAGGTTCGGGTATTGTGTCGTTATTGTGCGCTTGTCCCCATATTGAAACATATAAAGACATTAGCACACATTTTTACTTCCGTACTTGAAGCCCTATAAACGCCAAGGTAGGACGTTATTCAAATTCAATTCTCTAGCAGAAGTAACTTAATCTATTGTCTATGAAATGAAGGCCTATAGAAGGTTGGTTCTTGTTTAGTTGGTCTGTACTTGTCCCCAAAAGTAAGTCATAATTAGGACATACTCTATTGTTTTCTTGTAACTGTCCCCGAAAGTAGGAAACATTGCTCACGTTTCGATATATTAATAGTTATGTGTCATTTGAACATTTGAAAAAAAATGTCTTTTATTCAAAACCAAAGCATTGTTCTAATCCCTATGACACTTCTGTAAAGTTTCAAGAATGTAAGCAACCACACTAGGGACAATTGAGTTGAAATAATGAACACCAAAGACACATCATTTGTGAAAAAGGTTCCAGTAAGCTGATACTTCATTGTTACTGTGTTACTGGCATTATTACAGTATAGTAACTAACAGAACAAAGAAGGGCTATTCAAAGAAGTTGTTCAAGTTGTCATTTGCAGATTGTGGGAATATACATGTACATTTGCATCTACACTGTATCTTAACTGCAGTCGTTAGGATAGCAATGTTTCAAGTACCATATTTACAACGCTACATCCTCAAAATACGATGAAGCTAAAATCATTGTTGATTCTGCCTAAAACCCGAGGATCTTATGAAACAGCCTATCAACGTCCGAGCAAATAATGCTTTCATACCATCATCTTATTCCTACATGTACCTCTACAGAATTACTTTGAACAAGGACAAAACATGACTATAACCTCAACAAGCATTTATTTCTTTGACAATAAATATATTGTACTTTCTTTGAAGATTGAATTGAAAACACACCCTACTTTGTCAGTTATAGAGATTAAAAAATAGCTAAAAATGATAATTTCCGCAGATGTTCATAATATGGCCTACTTTCAGGGACAATAACACAGCAACGAAACAAGATCCCAACCTCAACAAGAATCCATTTGATACACAATACATGTATGTACTACTCAACAAAGATTGGATTCAAATAACACCCTACTTTGTCAGTTATAGAGCTTCGAAGTTAGTCAAAAATGATAATATTCCGCACATGTCCAAACTATGGCCTACTTTCAGGGGCAATTACACAACAACGAAACAAGACTCCAACCTCAACAATATATCATTTGATACACAATACATGTATGTACTACCCTACAAAGATTAGATCCAAAAACTCCCTACTTTGTCAGTTATAGAGCTTCAAAGTTAGACCAAAAATGATAATTTCCGCACATGTCCAAACTATGGCCTACTTTCAGGGACAATAACACAGCAACGAAACAAGATCCCAACCTCAACAAGAATCCATTTGATACACAATACATGTATGTACTACTCAACAAAGATTGGATTCAAATAACACCCTACTTTGTCAGTTATAGAGCTTCGAAGTTAGTCAAAAATGATAATATTCCGCACATGTCCAAACTATGGCCTACTTTCAGGGGCAATTACACAACAACGAAACAAGACTCCAACCTCAACAATATATCATTTGATACACAATACATGTATGTACTACCCTACAAAGATTAGATCCAAAAACTCCCTACTTTGTCAGTTATAGAGCTTCAAAGTTAGCCAAAAATGATAATTTCCGCACATGTCCAAACTATGGCCTACTTTCTAGGACAAGTACATAGCAACGAAACAAGACTCCAACCTCAACAAGATATCATTTGATACACAATACATGTATGTACTACCCTACAAAGATTAGATCCAAAAACTCCCTACTTTGTCAGTTATAGAGCTTCAAAGTTAGCCCAAAATGATAATTTTAACACATGTCTAAAACATGGCCTATTTTCAGGGACAAGTACACAGTAACAAAACAAGACTCCAACCTCCACAAGCATTCATTTGATACACCATACATGTATGTACTATCCTACAAAGATTGGATCCAAAAAACATCCTGCTTTGTCAGTTATGTAGCTTCAAAGATAGACCAAAATGTTAATTTAAGCACAAGTCCAAAATATGGCCTACTTTCTGTGACAATAACACAACAACGAAACAAGACTCCAACCTCAACAAGATATCATGTGATACAAAATACATGTATGTACTACCCTACAAAGATTAGATCCAAAAAACATCCTACTTTGTCAGTTTTAAAGCTTCAAAGATAGCCCAAAATGATAATTTTAACACATGTCCAAAACATGGCCTGCTTTCAGGGACAAGTACACAGCAACGAAACAAGACTCCAACCTCAACAAGCATTCATTTGATAGACAATCAATAGGATTACTTATTATCTAAAGTAATATTAGATTGCTCTTTTTGTATTGTATATATTGTATCTTAAATATGACAAAAATTTGTATTTTTCTTGAAATGTAAAATATGACCTACTTCCGAGGACAACCACGTAAGAACCAAACAATTGACCAAACTTTACAAACATGCATTTTATAGCACATATAAATATGTATCTGTTATTACATTTTGAAAGAAAAAAAATCACCATCTTTGGAGTTACGGCGCTTCAAAGATGGGCAGAAATAGGGATATTTCAAAAGCCCAAAACACTGTATTGTCTTAGGGATGCCCAGACCCTTAAAACGGACCTCTTGAAAATTTTAAAGCTATTTTAGAAAAGCAGATAAGTTGGACATTTCAGCACAGTTTTTGTCTTTCCGATATATTCAAGCATTTGTTTGTAATCGCGTCCTAAACTTTGGCAATTTTCATGTTTCTGGCATGCCCAAATCATGGAAAATGGCCCCAAAACATGTTTGGGCTGTTACCATGGCAACGATCGGTGTGGAGCAGGAAGAAAGCTATTTTGAGGGGTTGTGGGCCAAGTACTATCACTGTGCAAAATTTGAGCCAAATCAATTTTTTGACCCCTGCCACCATTGTTTGATCCTTACAGACATTTGCTCTTAAATCGCATACACCTGAATGTCTGTTCCGCAAACTACATAGCCTGGTTACCAAACCTATAGCTCCCGAGTCCTACATCCTCTCCGAGTCCTACATCCTCTATTTGCGGAGAGGATGTAGGACTCGGGAGCTATAATAGGTTTGGTAACCAGGCTCCAAACTACAAACATTAATAGGAATGGCAAGCTACATCTATCTGTAATTCAAAATAGTCGTAGTTGTATTTTGCAATCATTTCTTGTACTAAATCTCTTTCAAAGACAATACAAACTGCTGAAGATTCCAAGAAGCTTGGTGTCTGGCCCTTCGCTTCTGACCCTATCGAAGTTCACGTGCAAACCGACCGGGGTGCGTACTGTCCTGGAGAGACCATCCGGCTCAGCGGGACCCTAAAGAACGGTAGCGGCACCGACATCAAGGAGACAACGGTCCAGATCCGACAGGTGTGTAGAAACAATTGTACAATCCCTTTATGATTTCATAAAGTGATTGTAGCGTTGATTAACTAGAAAGGTAACATTTGCAAAACAAATGTATAATGTTACCTTCGCATTGGGTCTGCTCTATTAATTCTCACCCAAACACATTCATATGTATGGTGACGGGAGTCTAAATCCCTCCTGCTATAAAATTGCAACATGATGTAATTCAACACTGGTTACCATGGTGGCAGACGTCTGGTTCAGGTCAATGACCTTATTTATTTGGAGAAGAAGAAGAGGAAACAGAGCAAACACAATATGTTTTCCTTCTGCGAATTCGAAGGTAAACATATTTTTTAATGAAATGTGATTTGCATGTCTATGCTTGAAGACTGACGTCTTGTCTAGTCTTGTAACTGTAGATTGTTTTCTATGGCCCCAGAGAGTGACGTTCATTGCTACCAGCCCACACAAGAGCAAAAGAAACAGCCGGGACACACTGAGCGAAATCAAAGGTTACGGCTGCAAAAGCAAGGACGAAGTCGACCTGAGTAAGATCTCCATTCAAGTTCCCGCCATCCCGCCTTCGTCTCAGCGCTACTGTAACGTCATCGACGTTGTCTACAAGCTGAAGGTATATATACTGTATTAAATAGTTTCATCAGGTTGGTAAGTTACTGAGTTAACAGACTCTTTTTACACAACCAAGTGTTTTATTGGCAGTCAACTGACCGCGTATGTCTGTTCAACAGTGGAGGTGACATCCATTTACACATTTTAATGTTCCTCTTCCTTTTTTTTGTCCAGTTCATTGTGAACATCCCCGGAATGCACACCGACATGGAGGTGGACCTTCCCATCACCATCGGCTCCATCCCGCTCAAGAGTTATTACCCACAAGACCCCTCGTTCCCCTTACATCCGGTGGAACAGCCGCCACCACCTTCCCAGGGTGCATTGTACCCAGATCTCGGGTTTGCCCAGTGGACGTACCCAGGAGCCACTGACCCAAGTGCACCCCGTAAGTACAACACACCCGGAAGCCCCAGTCATGCTTATAATTAGGTCACCTTTCCAAGCCGGGGCCCGGCCGGGCTGTTTCGATTAACGAAAAATCAAAAATTTTTATCAAGCATATACGCAAATAGTTCCATTATTATTTTTCTTAAACTTTTGTAAGCTTTGTTGTCTTTTATGCCATATTATTCGTTCCATAAGACTACCCGGCCGGGCCCCGATTTGGAAATGTGACCTCAGCATCACATATAGCCAAATTTGGCCTTCCGAACGCTAGCCAAACGCTTAACAACCATGTTAAGGAGTGGGTCGACTGGTGTTCGGCTGGGTCGACTGGCGTTCGGCTGGGTCGACTGGCGTTCGGCAGGGTCGACTGGCGTTCGGCAGGGTCGACTGGCGTTCGGCAGGGTCGACTGGCGTTCGGCTGGGTCGACTGGCGTTTGGCAGGGTCGACTGGCGTTCTGCTGGGTCGGCTGGCGTTCGGCTACGGTTCGGCTGCGCCAGTCGAATGTTTCAAAATGTTTCAAACATACGTCAGTCAGCAGTGTTCGGGGTGTGTTCAGGAATCAAATTTGACTCCAATTTAGTTCAAATTCGTTTTGAGTCAAATACAAAAGGTAGGCTTGGCCTAAATCTCGTCAGAGTGTTCCCGAACACCAGCCGACATATTCGGTTGGTGTTCGGGAACGAATTCGTGGGAAGTTCGCGAATGTGTGACAGGGGCTTAAAGCTATAAATGGCTGCGATTGCACGAGTTTGACCAATAAACTATTCATTGTCATTATAACTGATGATTGTTCTGTTTGCAGCTCCTCCCTACTACGCCGTGTCTAGTACGGGCCCGGTGACCATCAAAGACGACGAGGAAAAGGGCGACAAATACGACATGGGAACGAAGCAGTTCGCTCCGAAGTACACCTACTACGACTGGAGCAAACACTCGTAGATAGAAAACAAAAATTGTAGCTGGTACAATGCATAGCAGATGATAAGATTATTAGCTGGTATGGATTTATAAAAATTCTACTTATAGGTACAACGGGTACTGAGTGTTGAATAAGGTGGAGATAGCACTCTTAGATAAGTTTGACGTTTCACGTAATTACTCCGTTCAAACAAAGCCTATGTTTTGTTTTTGTAGAGCTTATAGCACACACAGCTATTCTTATTATTAATAATAATGGTTTATTTCAAATGCAATATTGCATAAACACAGTTGTTGAATTATGTGTAACTGTTTACAAAAATGTAACATTTTGAAGATAACCATAGACATAGTAACATAAGTAGTCGAGTATTAAGTTTAAAATTACGGATAGGTGGCGAATTGAAACAGTGGGCATTGTATAGTAAACATGTTATTAGATAAAAGCATTTCAAGGTAAAGATATAGACCCAAGAGTAGAGGCCAGCGTTATTTCTAGACCACATTTCTGTTGGTACAAAATCAACCAAATTTTTAAAATTTAGTTACAGATTAACCAAGGTAATGGTGAGAAATGTTGGTGTGTTTCACAATTTGGTCGTTGGGCTCTCTTTTTTTTATTATGATATCTATATGGCATTTATCTCTAATTTCTTAAGATTTCTGAAAGGGACTAAAATATATTGCTCTTAGGTACGTACAGTACCCAAAGCGATATTAGGGAAGTAAAACAGGCAATTTTTTGGTCATTTTTTAAATGTAGTAAGTTGAAAACATTCCATTCCATAGCATACTGATATCTGTAAGGCATAAATGTGATGTTGCTGATGGAAAACGGTTGCTTGTTTTGTATCGTAGACTGGATCTAGCTATTTATAGGCGGTACCAAAAAATAAAGGGGAATGCTCTGACTCTGTGTTCGTTATGGTAAACTTTCAAAGTCATCACACACCAAACAACGAAAATGTTCATCAAAACGAAAACACTGAAAAATGAGCATAACAACGGCCTTGTCACAAATTTGTTAGGATTTATTCTTTAACCACGTCAAATATTAATATTAACACAACAGTACACGTATTATATTAACAAAAAATCAACATTAGAGAAAGATCTTTATTGACCCAAGAACGAAGACTGGGCCGATCCTAAAATATTCCTTGAAATGATTCCAGTGAAATAATTAAATCTCTCTCAAACAATCTAACTGAACGTTAAAAACAAATATTAAATGGTACATTACAAATGCACACCAAGAAAAGCAAATAAAGGTACTTCACGGCGCATGCGTGGGGTCAAAGGTGAATTAACCTGTAAATAGTTCTTACCTCAGACAATAGGGCTAAAGGGTCCGAAAAAAATGAAAATAAAATGTTTGATACCATGTGTAGACGTGCTTTTTTATGTCTCATGAACCCTCAACTTTGACCTGTTACCCACAATACTTCACGCTGCACACGCACATTCACCAATTTCACACTTCCCATAATGCCTAGTAACGGTCACGGATATGCAGGGATATGACGTAAGACCATCCCCCCTCCCGCTTCCTCGATGTAATATTTCCAACAAATTCTATCGACAAACTGGTCAACTATTGTTTTGAATTATTTATCTAGTATAAAGCACATGCCATAGTTGCATTTTTGTTGGAATTATTTAGAGGAAATGACGTACCTTCTATCGTTCCACCTTCTACCGAACACTCTCCTACTCGCACGGTCGCATGCATTACCGAGTAGGAGAGTCTTCGGTAGAAGATGGAACGATAGAAGGTACGTCATTTTCTCTAATTCCAACAAAAATGCAATTATGGCATGTGCTTTATACTAGATATATAATTCAAAACAATAATTGACCAGTTTGTCGATAGAATTTGTTGGAAATATTACATCGAGGAAGGGGGAGGGGTGATGGTCTTACGTTATATCCCTGCATATCCGTGACCGTTACTAGGCATTATGGGAAGTGTAAAATTGGTGACATTCACAGTTCAAACTGCAAAGTAGGTTAATCAATACACCACGTGATCTGACATACATATCAAGAGTAAATCTGTAAAATGTTATGAAAATTGGTTTATATTATATCTGTTTTCCTCCAGTTTCTTGTTCATATTAATAAAATATTACATGATAGTGTTACATAATTTCTGTCCGAGTTCTTTGTATATCTTACACATAAATTTTGTTTGAATCTTCATATAAACAGCACATACAGCATACACTATACATTTCAACATACATGTACGCCTGTGTACAACGTAGTTACAATAGCATGTTTGTTAGTATTCTATCTTGGGTAAATTCATAATCACAATAAGTTTTATTCTTATATGGCACCAACATTAACAATATTAGCCAAAGATATACATCAAGGAAAACTCAACAGACTAGGAATATTGTCAGTGAACTTGTACAACACAACAGTGTTTTGTTACACCTAACCGACGTTGTATTCAGAATACATTAAACAAAATACCAGTAAGTAAACAAGACAAAGTAACGACGGACTCAAATTGTGCAATACATATACACGATTGGCACATATGACCCGCTACTACGGTCACGTGTCTCTGGCGTCACGTTTCAAGAGTAGACGGGTCCATTCCGTGAACAAGGTTGAGGGAGTCAACCGAAAATTTGGGGTAAGTCCAAATTCTGTATCTAAGTGTTGGAAGTTAAAGCTTAGTCTTTATTTCATACATATACACGGCATCACTTATTATTTATACAGCATGAAAAAGTATACAGCATACCAAATATGGCTGTAGGTAGCTTATTTTTTTTGGGGGGGGGGCGTCATTTGTTTCTAAAAGGTAGACTCACATGTAAGGCCATGTTGATTTGATTATATGGATGACATCCTCTGGTAACCCCAAAACTGATGCGAGCGCGCGAATAAAAAAAAAGTTTTGCAAAAAAAAAAGTTGCTTTCATGAAATCTACGTTGTTATGAAGGTCGAACAAATGACACAGAGTATGGTATGGCGAATAATCTACTCTTTAAATTCATTTCTATGCATTTTATTTTTTTCTTTGATTTTGGCATTCTACGACGTTGGAATCGTTTTCAAATATTTTTTTTGCAACTTTCGGTATATATTTGCTCATTTTGCAACTGTTTTGTACAATTTACAGTATGGTTGGAAACTTTTTTTTTTGGAAACGGCCGAAAATTCATGCGCGCGCGGATGTCATCCATTATATATTTCCACTCTCGCCAAGGTGATCGATTAAGGATTGGGTGTAAAAGACCTCGGCGAGCTAGTATCGCGTGTCTGCTCCCTGTCATACATGCGACTCTCACAGTGAGTGTGGGGTGGGCGGGGGGGTGGGATTTATTTTCGTCCCGCTCATTTCCGTCCAGCCTTCTCCTTTCTTGCGTCCTCTACCCTAAAGACAGTCTTGGTACTGAGCATTATGGTCGACTTGGGGTTATTCCCTACCCCCGCCTTTGATACTGGCCTTGACTAAACATACGCGACCTATACCTGAGGACCTATCTCTAGCTGTTGCTCTTTTTCCTCTTCCTCGTCCACCCCTCTACTACTTAGTACCTCGACCTGGCGGCTCATCCTCGTACCTCCCGACGTAACGTTTCACCCGCCAGTGCGTGCGGCATCGATGGCCAGCTGCCAGGCGTGGGCCTCCCATGACGCCGCCGGTCAAGAAATTGAATTTCCCCGCCTACCCTTAATGAAAGCCATCAGTGTGTCTACATCATCTACCCTGACGCCCGGTACTCGCCGCGCCGAGTTCACGTCGCTCTAGTTACCAGGCTACTCACGAGACGGGTTGTACGCTAACCCCGCTACCTTCTCTCTGTTGCCCCGCTTCACAAAACTGATGGAGTATGAGGGGTTGGTCACATGGCCTGACATCTCGCTCAACAAGAGTCTCGCGAGATGTCAGTCCATTGTGACGTAAGTGGGAATAATTATATATTTCCACTCTCGCCAAGGTGATCGATTAAGGATTGGGTGGAAAAGACCTCGGCTACGCTATAGTGATCGGGTGCCTTAACCCCTGTCATAGGCTCACTCTTAAACCTCTTCCTCATTATCCCCCAATCCTTATCCTTCCCATTCCTTACCCTCTCCTCTCCCATTCCTTATTCTAAGTGTCACGTAAGGCAAAGACACTCAGTAGGCCAAGACACGTAGACACACCATGAGATGGTAGTCTTCTTTTCTTTTATTCAATCTCGATTTAAAGTCTGTGGAACTCGCCCACCTGGGGCACAATTAATGAGTCCCCGAAGTGTAGTCACTGAGCCCTCGCTCGCAACAAGCTTGCCAGCAGTTCTTGTAGTACTGGCCGTGGTCCGTAAAAGGAGCGGGGCCCGTTCCAGACCCATTTACCCACTGGTAGCCGACACTTTCTCTTCCCAGAGCCTCAGTGGATCAAGGGCTACTTGCGCCTACTTTCCAAAACTGGGATGATGACGGTATACGTGATGCTGGTATCCTGCATACACACATGTTTCTAAAGCACTTCAATCTTATCTCATCCTCAAGTGTACCCCAAACTCTCGGGTACGGGTACATCTCCTTCGGTTTCTCTAATATAAAACGGTAACCCTTCCGTTTACTCAAATATGTCGGCTACCTTAAGTAAATTTAGGTCTGGAGGGGCCCTCGCTCGCTTCCCGGGCCACGAGCCGAAGCTATATGGTGGCGGCAAACCTATTGAGGAAAGCACGCACGGTCCACGAGTTAGGGCTTAGCCAGCCATAAAATGCCAAAACTAGGTAGCTATCTCAAATACATACAACCGAAAAATTGTACTACTCAAAGCGCCTTCCTATGCGTTTACGATACCTGTACGCATCTCCATACGACGTACAAAACAAAGAAAAATGACCCATTGCAAGGCCAAACCAAAAGATCAATGGCTAAAGGAAGACGACCGAAAACTGTCCCACCGTCTCCCCTTCTGCTATAGATAGCCTTTATGGAAGACGACCGAAAACTGTCCTATTGCCACCCTCTGCTATCGGTTGTCGCTATGAAAGACGACCGAAAGCTGCTCTACTGCCTCTCCTCCTGCTGTCGGTAGTCGCCAAGTGACCAAAAGACGATCAGAAGACTACCGAAATCTGCCCTCCATCTCCAACCCCCTTGAGGTTGTCGGAAACCTCCACGCATAGGGAGAGCGAAACTATTCAGTTTCCCATCTAACTCGAGATTGTCCAACAACCTCTATCCCCCGGGAAAGCGATAAGCCATAAAACTGTCCAATAGTTTTACGCAATAAATTTTGAGACTGTCCGACGGCCTCTACCTCTACTGTACTGATACCTGACACTTACCTACGGTTTCTCGCTTCTAGATTGTCCAACAACCTCTATGCTCCAGCAAAGTGATCTGCCATAAAACCGTCTAACAGTTTTTCGCACCAAATTCTGAGACTGTCCGACAGTCTCTAACACTTCTGGTGCACGAAACTGTCCCACAGTTTCTCGCTTCGAGATTGTCCAACAACCTCGAAGCACCGTCAAAGCGATATGCCATGCATAAAACCGTCTAACAGTTTTACGCACCAAATTCTGAGACTGTCCGACAGTCTCAAACACTTCTGGTACACGAAACTGTCCAACAGTTTCTCGCTTCGAGATTGTCCAACAACCTCTATCCAGGGGAAGCGATATGCCATAAAACTGTCCAACAGTTTTACGCTCCAAATTCTGAGACTGTCCGACAGTCCCTACCACCACTGATACCCGAAACTGTCCTCCAGTTTCTCTCCTCGAGACTGTCCGACAATCCCAGAGAAGCTCCGCCAACACCAAAAGGAAACTAACAAGAATTGTCCCACAGTCTTTCCCCGAAATAGGCCTCAGGTTGTTCCACTATCACCCCGATGCCAAACCGTTGATTATCCGACAATCTAGCAAACGCAGGGCCAAACGGAAAAAATGACCAAAATTTCACAAACATTTCCTTCCGAGGAAACGAGCCATCAACGCTTAAAACACACGAAAAGGGGAAAAATACGAGACTGTAAAGAAGTGTGAAACGCCCCGAGGTACACACACGTGATTCCGGGGCGGACACACGCAAAAATAAGGTCGTAAAATGACGGAGGCAAAACTCCTACCCAAGGCGTCTCTGCGTTCCGTGCCGTGACTCCCTGCGGGAATGGCCAGTGCCGACAACGCGGAACTGGATCCCGAGAGAGCTGTCACTATCTTCGGGATGCCTGGTCGCTCTATCCGGTAGCAGGGGTTGCTGCAGCGCTACCGCCGGGTCACACTCCCGTTCCGCCCGGGGCGGCAAGACGCTCCGCCCGGGGCGGGAAATCCCTCTCACTGACCGGGCTGTACACGGCCGCTGGCAGGCTTGCATCCGCGGGCTGGTTTCCACTCGTGGTCTGCGTTGTACTCGCGTTCGGGGTCGCCACAGTGTTCCTCCGGGAGTCTGCAACTGTGAAATAGAAAACACGTTACCCAGAGGAAGAGGGATAGCACACGTACTTATCTACTGAGGCATGCACGTGCGCTGCCACGTCGACCAATCTTTATCTAGCCTGCGCTCCAAAATACCACCAAACAAACCTGTTTCCTCAAGACACTACCACAACAGTACCTTCTAAACCAGGTAACCAACGCGGGAATTCTGCATGGAACCAGAATAATGCTGCCACCGCCGGAATCACAGAAAAATGGTCGGATCAACCGGAGCTAAACCACACGCTACCTTCGCTGGGGCTGGCTTCACAAAACTGATGAAGTATGAGGGGTTGGTCACATGGCCTGACATCTCGCTCAACAAGAGTCTCGCGAGATGTCAGTCCATTGTGACGTAAGTGGGAATAATATAATCAAATCAACATGGCCTAAGATGCGAAACACCTTTGACTGAAAATAGAGCATTTTTTATTGTCATAAGCAATCCATTATCGGTTTAAATCGGTTGAAATGGAGGAGAAAAACTTTATTATTGCCATGTTTTGTTTAAAGCCCCACTCCATTGTTTTTCTTCTTCAGTCCACCTCAAAGAACGGTCACATTTTAGGGCAAAGGTCAGTAATAGCGCAGGCGCAGAGGGCCCAGTTCTAGTATATAGAGATGGCAATGTAATGTAGAGTGTAAAGAAGTCTTTTTCTAGGGAAATGTTGTTGTTTTGGACTTGGATGTTATAGGTAAGGGTTGTAGTATTTTCATTTTGGTGAAAAAACAGACTTGCAGCCATGCATGTGTTGTCTGGCTGGCTGAAGAAGATATAGGTTTACATGCGGTCATCAGCTGTCTAGAGAGGTCAGGGGTCACTTTTCAATGTTCGGCTAGAATTCTCACATGGTTTAGGTGCGTAGGATTTTTTTTTCATTTTTTGGGAATGGAGACTTGAGAGGTTGGCCTACCCTGCCAATGTATGTTCTTCAAGGTCTAAAACTCAGGTATATGAATTTTGACCACGTTGTTTTGACATAATTCCCATATATTAACATAGGAAAGCCCTATTACTGTGCTGTGCCCTGCATAGGCCGCTGTACGATTTTGATCACATTTTTTTTCAAGCAGGCTGTGATCGAACAAACCGCCGAAAAATCTAAGATAACCTTTTCGCATCAAGCCAGTTGTATTTGAAATTTGCAAGACTGTCCCAACACTAATACCTTCAGTTTGCGATCGAGCGACGAATAGTGAGCTGTCCTTTTCACTGTCCTTGCCTCTTGTATGACCTGCATATCTGTTGGCAGATGTTTCGTGTAAGATATCACGAAATAGCCGGTATGTATCATTGCAATGCCGCTCAAGTCTGTCCTACTGACCGGTTGTTAATGATAGTCATGTCCCGTTGATTGAGTGGGTAACAGACCAGCAGACTTCCCCTGCCGTCTTTGCTCGCCTTTCTTTTTAATTTGAGTATCTGCCATGTGACGCGTAACGGTACGGTGTATGGGGGCCAGAACCCAGAGGTCCTCTGTTCGAATACAGCTGCCATGTCATCGACCTTGTGCTCTTGGTAAAGGCACTTCGCACAACTTTTCTTACTCTGCCCAGGTGCAAATTTAAGAAAGAGAACCTGACTTCGGTTGGGGAGGTAGAAGGCGATAAAAGGACAGGGATGAGCTCTGCCTTTCAATACCGTGCCCTTAGAAGCAGTGGATGAAAAGCCCACTGCCCCTACGGCCTCAAAGGCTAAGGGACTACCTTTACCTTTTACCCTGTTTACGACTGTTGCGGAGGCCGCATGTGATGATCCTGAGAAAGGCGTTCCTGAAGTCCTTGTTGAAGATGGTGTAGATGACGGGATTGGCAGCGCTGTTGCAGTACCCTATCCAGAAGCAGAACTTGAAGACAACGTCAGGCACTCTGCACGACTTGCAGGCGACCACGATGGGGTAGAGCTGGAAGAACGGGTACCAGCACACGATGAACGCCCCCATGACGAGCCCGATGATCAGTGTGAAGCGCCGCTCCTTAGACTGTAGTATCTTCAGCCTCTCCTGCCCGGGGCTGCACTCCTCCTTGCGGTTCCTGTCGAACTGCAGCTCCAGTTTGGTGCCGACTCGCTGCAGAACTTTGATGCAGTTGCTCTGTGCCTGTGCCTGGAGGGAGCTGTCTTCCGTCTCGATAGCACACATCGGGCTGACGGCGAGCTGTTGTGCCGGCGCGTCGAATTGCTTTCCGTCACCGTTCTCTTGGAAGATGTCTGCGCCATCTTGGCCACACCTGCACCCACTGTCGTTTTCACCTTTTCCAGTAGGCGGCGCTGTTGAGACGGTTGCGGTCTTGCAGGCCTCGCCGTTTCTGCCTCCCGGCTTGTTGGGTGATGTTGACGGGCAGTGAGCTGTCGGGATACGGCCATCTACCCTGTGCGAACCCACGCCGCTATCGGTGCTAAGCACCTGCATACGGATCATTTGCGGTGGCTTCAGATGTTTGACGTTCTTGGCGTTTGTGACATCAGCCGTCTTCTTCTTCTTTATCATCATCTTCGGGGTCACCAAGGGTGTTCTTTGCCGAGACGCTACGGGAGTTGCCGGCGGGCAGACGGTCATCTTCTTCTTCCGGAGGTGCGCCCGCGTGGCCACGATCAGACAGATGTAAGCCACCACCATGACGATAAGCGGGATGTAGAAGCTCGCCGTGGCCGAGAAGGCGACGTAGCCGAGGGACTGGTGCAGGGGGCAGACCGGGACGGCGCCGTGCTGCTCGTGGGGCTCCTCCCAGCCGAACAGCGGCGGGACAGAGATGGCGGCCGCGGTGATGTACGCTCCTGCGATCAGGAACCCCTGACGGCGGTTGATAGTGGGGCTACAGGAAACAAACAAAATATCAGATAGTGGGACTACAGGTAGTGAGGCTAAACAAAAACAAACAAAATATCAGATAGTGGGGCTACAAGAAACAAACAAAAATGTTAGATAGTGAGGCTAAACAAAAACAAACAAAATATCAGATAGTGGGGCTACAGGAAACAAACAAAAATGTTAGATAGTGAGGCTAAACAAAAACCAACAAAATATCAAATATTGGGGAAATCTGTAACACACCAGCCTTGCAAGCACGCGGTGTGGCAGCAGCTAGCTATATTACACCAAGGACATTATTATGTCCTTGATTACACCGAACGACACCTTACGAGTACACCCAATCTTTGCACATTTAATTGCGAATAGTTGTTTAAAGCTTTCTAGTGATGATGCCCCTACTGTGCTTTGTAGCAACGAGTTCCACTCTACAATAGTTCTTGGAAAGTACGATTTTTTTAACACCTCAATTCTTGGTTAATAATGCTGAAATTTGAAGTCATGGCTGTTTCGTGATCTTTTCTGAGCTGCTATTAGATACTTAGTAGTTGGTACTTCCACCAGTTTATAAATTAGTCATTTTGTACATCATCGATATCCATAATCTGGTCTGTCTTCCAGTGACGCCCACTAGCTTTAGGTTTCTTTTCGTTACCTGCTGTAGGCGGTTGGGTTGACCACACAGCGGTAGCGCTCCAGGGCGATCAGGCACAGGTTGAAGATGGAGGCGGTGCAGGCGAACACGTCCATGGCCAGCCAGATCTCACACCACACCGACCCGAACGTCCAGGTACCCAGCAGCTCATATGCCAGCGCGAACGGCATGATCAGCGTACCCACCTGTAATAAGGTATGAATAAATGGATGAATGAATGAATGAATGAATGAATGGATGACTGAACGAATAGATGGATGGATGAATGAGTGAGTGAGTTAATTAATGGATGGATAGATGGATGAATGGACGGATGGATGAATTAATGAATTAATGGATGAATGGATGATTGAGTGAATGAATGAATAGATGGATGAAAAAAAATGAATGAATGGATGGATGAATGGATGAATGAATGAATGAGTGAGTTAATGGATGGATGGATGAATAAATGGTTGGATGAATGGACGGATGGATGAGTGAATGAATGAATGGATGAGTGAGAGAATGAATGAATGAATAGATGGATGAAAAATGGATGGATGGATGAATGAATGAATGAGTTAATTAATGGATGGATGGATGGATGAATAAATGGTTGGATGAATGGACGGAAGGATGAATGAATGGATAAATGGATGAGTGAGTGAATGAATGAATATATGGATTTAAAAATGAATGGATGGATGGATGGATGAATGAATGAATGAATGAGTGAGTTAATGGATGGATGAGCAAAAAAATTAATGAATGAATGAATGGAAGGGGGAATGGATGGATGGATGGATGAACGAATGAATAAACGAATGAATGCTCTATGTAAATGTCGAAAGTGATAATGCCTCTTAAAAGCAATTGGCAGACATTGTCAAAATTCTGCCTAGCTGTAAACATATCGCCCTTATTTACATCTGTTTATTTTCAATACGAATTAAAGACTTACCAGGAGGTCACTAGCCGCCAATGAAACCAGAAACCAGTTCTGCGGATGACGTAACTTCCGCTCGGTGACGACAGCTATGCATACCTGCAACATAAAGGTTGACGTAATTTCCGGTCTGTGACGACACCTCTGTATACCACAACATAATTGATGACGCCATGTCTACCCCGTGGCGACAGCTATGCAAACATGTAACAGAATGGATGGCGTTAATTATTTTTGATCTCAGACGATCTGTAAAGACGTGTTCACGCCTTTGAGCGTGTTCAAAGGCGGGCTTGCCGCATCATCCTGGGAACCACCGACACAGGATATGAACACGCACTACAACACCTTGGATTGTCATCACTTGCCGAGAGAAGAGAACTGTTGTGTGTAAAGTTTGCTAGGACACTTGTGAGGTCAGAGTACAGGGACTGGCTACCTCCACAGAGATCACAAATAACTGGCCGTAGTACTAGAAACAGCGAGATGCTAGACTGTCCGAGAGCAAGAACAAATAGATACAAGAACTCGCCCATACCGTTTATGGTCCAGCTCCTCAATAACTATGGATTGAACCCCTGACTGTTGTTTTTCTAAAATGTAGTACACTGTTTCTGTATCAAATGTTGTCTGTGAAAGTTATAATGTATGGAACATGTATTTTTATTGGTTCGGTAATCGTACGCCTATATTGATTGCAAACCTGTAGTTTTTAATATACTAATGTTTTGTAAATTGGTCTATAATTCAGTTGTTTTTAACTGCGAAGAACCAATAAATCCATCTTGAAACCTCTTGAAGACACCGTCACGTCAGCTATGATAGCCAAATATGGCATCCCGAAAACTAGCGGCTACTGCCCATCTAAAAACGTTGCGTCCAGTAACTTTATGCATCCACCGTTATTAGTAAATAGTTGATTCTATGATATAGATACCTCTACTATATGGCGTAGATAGCTGATACTATGATATCCTTTGTCGGCCTTTTCAATGGCTGTAGCCTTGAAGTCTTATCTTTGAAATCTCTTGAAGCAACAGAACTTTGCATCTCTTGATCTCTCGTCTCTAGCTTTGTGTTTTTTTGCATAGTACGTTTGATTTCCTTTTGTGTTCACCCTTTACACATTGAAAATGGCCGCCACTACAACACGCCAGCCTTTGAGGCGGCACAACACAGTATTAGCCCTATGGGGATTTCTATAGTTAAGGACCCCAAAGTGACTCACTTCGACTCACGGAAAATCATACTAGGGTGCACAAGCAAGGTTCAGAATTTTGATATGTTTAATTTCAGGGTATAGTGTACAAAATATGTGAAAATGAGCTTAAATTTGCCGGCTAGTTCTCTTCTCGCGCCCTCTTTTATTAGCGCCACTGCGGAGGTCATGGAACTGCAGCCGACGCACAGTACTAGGCGGGACAAGTATCCAAGCGCAAATCTACTCCGACTAAACACGCACCATAATCCAACTTTTACAGTCTCAAAACTGACGTATTCCTCTAACATTTACCACAGGTTCTGTCTCGATGCCATGCACAAAACAATCTCTGCACCCTTCCCTAGTATTGTGTAGCACTACTTTGTGCCCGGACTACTTTTGACTACGGGGTTCGCCCATGAATACTGTGTTGTGCGGCCTTGAGCTACTGGATCCATTCTGTGACAAGACGCACTCGAGTGAACTTACCGGGGGATAGTCCGTGGCAAAAAAGTGACGAAAGGGTTTTGAGGGTCCGACTTTGAGGTGACATTTCTCATAAACTGCCACGAAATATCATTAAACATTAACATGGCTGAAGAGTGTAAGAAATGGTGATTTTGGGGTAAAAATTTCTTCTGGCTCCGAACCTTACTTCCGGGTATCCTTGCGCGCCAAGTGTAATCCGCCCGTTTGACCTAGATTTCGCTCTGCGCCTTCCTAGTAGCGGATTTGCAACCCCTCGCGCTGTGGACGATTAAAAAAATTACAGTGCTAGAATTTTCTTTATAATTTACTCGGGTATAGTCAAGGTTTGGGTCTTTCTGCCAGCATCAGTCATTTCTGCCGGAAAATTTTTTTCTATGGGATTATCCTACGTGAAAATTCGCAATTTTGTGCATTAATTTTGGAGTGAAAATAATGTTTTTTCCGTTGATTTTACAAAACTAAAAAGGTTGAAGAAACCAAACTCAGCTGGTCTTGTAGCTGAAGGGATATCCTTTCGTCCCATATACAGTTATTCTCCTTCCGAACTACTCCACGGCAGAGACGGTCGCTAGATTTGAGGGTGTGCAGCTTCGAATAGAAACGCCAAATAAACTGGGGTGTGCCCCCTTACAGGCATCCAATGCAATTTCAGGGCGGCAACAAAGCAACTAAATATTCTAGATGAGGAAATTTGACTGATATTAACATTTACTGCTATTTCTTAGCATGTTTTGTTCATCGTATTATACTTGAAACATTTGAGAGGGTCTAAAAACAAGCTACGTTAGCACATTTTCGTACATGTGTACCGCCCATAAATAGCTAGAACTGGTCTTCCATTTACTGTCAGCAGCAGATGTCGCAAGCTTTGCCTTAGGCCACACCAAGTAAATTTTATGGATGACGTCCGCGCGCGCATAATTGATTTTGGCCTGTTCCTAAAAAAAAAGAAATTCCGCTTCCTGTAACTATGAACAAAGAGTCACGACAGTGCCACAAATCGTCAGATTGACGTGAAACCCGTAACGCGAAAATAAGACAGGACGACAACTGCTGTTCCACCTGATTTATTGCTGTTTTGATGATGAATAAAAGACTTCTTACTTGCTACACTGTGCCACCTCATTCAATTTGTGTCCTAACATTTGTCGTCTCATAGTATATTTCTAATATAGGCATCTTGTTTTTAGGGCCCTTCTTGTTTTTTTCTCGCCCTCTCGCATTAGATTTAGGGTCTCCAAAGGACGTCATCCATAAAATTTACTTGGTGTGGCCTTACAGATACTAGTATACTATGGTATACGGTTCATTCAACTTACTACATTAAAAGAATGAACAAAAAATTGAATTGACTTTGAAAATCCAGTTTTGCCACCATGAAACTCCGCAATGCTGGAGTCTATTAACGTGTGGTAGGATTGATAAGCGTATAGATTCATAGTCCGCGCATTTCCCATTAACGTGTACGTCAATGCGTGACAGTGTGGATAAAAGGGTCCATCGTGCAAACATCGCGTTATGCTATTTCCACCGGTGCGTAGGCGTCGGACCCACTAAACCCACCTGACACCATGGCGAGGTGTTCGCACTACTCTGTGCATACCATCCAAAAACAGGTTTCTTGGGCCGGCCCTTGTCGTCTTAATTTGCCAGACGATCTACAGCTTCAGTCATTCTCTGTGGGTCTGGATGGGCAGCGCCTCTCGTGGCTGGTACAGCCGATTCTCGCCTGGCAGGCTCTGCCGCAGAATTGGCAACAGTACAGGCTTCGGCTTATTACCACCATCGCGGAGGCTATTTTTCAGTGGCGTTTATTCGCAAACACACAGACAAGTGCACCCAGACTGTGGACAAAAGACTACAACATGCACTGCTTAAAATTCGACTTTTAATTATTTATACTAAGTACACTTTAAAGTATGAACAAAGGTTGCTTTCTTTTTCAACGGAGCCTTTACGTGTGTTTTGTTTTTATTATTCCAACATGTATTCATAAGACACTTTAACGACATTTTTTTTTCAACATATCTTAGACCGCCAACAACACAGAGGACAATTTCAATGCTCAATTACTCAGCGTGCTTTAAGATAGAAGAAGAACTTTATTGCGCAACAGATGTAGCAGGTACAACGTATGGCAAAGTGATACATACATAGTTTGTGGTGTTAATTAACATACACATATGGTGGTGTTGAGAATATCTAACAGTTCTACTAACTGTAATAGGAATCTGGTCTGCTTCATAAACAATGTATAACAAAAGAGAGACACTAATTAAGCAGACCTAGGTTGAAATCTCCCAGTACCGGACCAATATTGTTTTTAATCACTTATATATCTAATGTATAACTGCGTACAGCTAGTATTTGTTTAAGTTGTTTGTACCTAGTTTGTCAATGTCCTTTGTTTGTTTAGCCCACCTTATTGTTTAATTGTTTTTAAACCTGTGTACGCAATTCAGCGGTTTAAACGCTGCCATGTACAAGGATTGTTGTCAATAAACTAATAAAAAACTAATAAACAAAAACTAATCTAACTCTATTAATACAATGTAGTAATAAATTGTGTCAGGAATTAATTACGTTTTCTCGTTTTGTCATGGAATTGTGTACAAATTGGCCTACATAAGCCGCAAATTTTTCTGCAGTACTTAATATGATTGATTAGGAGAAAGAAACTCACCAGTATGTTTCCTACGATGATCATGACCATCACGGTTGATGCCGCCAGACCGATGGCCACCTTGGCGGGCAGACTGTAGGCTGAAGCGGCCATCTGCAGCAGCATGTCGGTGGCCGTTTCGTTCACGATGGCGTCGCTCTCGTTGGACATGGCGTACTAACTTTGGCTAGCTATATATCCAGATGTTTTTGCACTGAAACCAAATGTCCGGTGGTTTTCAGAGATTGTTTGCCGAGAAAGGATACTGTAGAAGTCCAAACATTCTTGCAATTTACTGAGAAAATACGAAGACTATAGCAACTCCCTGCCTGAGTCAGATCGTTCTAGCTATAGCAAGCTGTTTTTGAGATGAAACCAAATGCCCGGTGGTTTCAGCGATAATTTGCCGAGAAAAAACACTGTACAAGTCCAAACGTCCTTGCAACTCTCTTAGAAAACCACAAAGATAAATTTTCGCTTCCTGTGTGAGTCAGATCAGCCTTTTTTCTTAATCAGCAAAAGACCGTGGGTGTCCATGGCACGTACGTAGGTAGTATCCTTCACATTAATTCGGATGACGCAGATGTGCCGAAGCGAGGTTTTGTCAGCCAATCAAATCCCTCTTTTTCTTATTTCTGACGTCCAAAAGGATGCTTTTGACACAATAAATATTCACAGGCAGCTGTTATTTTACCAAGTCCCCTTCGCGGTACATCACTTAAAACCATCTTCACAACCGTTCATGACCGTGAGCAAGAGCATCCTGAGGGCACCTGAAAGAAGAGGAGTATGCTAATCATTATCATTGCACGCAAAGTGAGCTGAAGGTTACGGGTTTTTAAAGCATACTGCAGGTGTATTATTTGTAGCGGATCTGTAGCAAGGGCTACAAGTCTGTTGGGTAGGCACCGGTAATTTGCCAGGAAATTGCATTTCATTTCATGTTTTGGTATACACCGGCAGTTCCCTAACAAGGAAAATAGGAAGCCAATAGTAATACCTGGGGTGAAATCCCTGCGACACTGGTTTGCCGTCCACAAACTATGATACAAAAAGCTGATAAAAATGAACTAGAAAGATGACATTTGCAAAGCAAATGCATAATGTTTACCTTCGTATATGGTCTGCTCTGTTAATTCTTACTCATTCACATATATGGTCAGACAGGAGTCTAAATCCCTCCTACTATAAAATTGCAACATGATGTAACCCAACACCAGTTACCATGGTGAGAGACGGCTGGTTCAGGCCATTGATCGTTTTGGTTTGGAGAAGAAGAAGAGGAGGAAACAGAGCAAAAACAACATGTTTTCCTTCTGTAAACATAAAAATGAATCAAGAAACCGGATAAATTTTCAGACGTTTCGGGTAGCATCCACCATCCCTCAAAAAATGACCGGCACTATCAGATTATTCAGAAGCCATTCCGGAGTTTTGAAAACCAATATCCTTTTTGTCGCGTGTCTGTGCCTTTTGAAAGACGATGCCCACCTACAGGCCTTTATTACCGCCCCCGCTACACCTGAGCCTCACTCAACACAAAATAAGTTTGAAATTTGATTTCTGTGACTGCGTGGAAAATTGCATTACATTATATGTCATTGAAAGGCTCCTCTAACAACCTCTACAATGATATTCTGCTTGTTATTATGGTGCATTCATGGGTTACTTATATGAATGAAAGACCTTTATTGTACATTTGTGCTCTAACAAGCTAAGTACAGGTCATGGATCGGATAGACAAGGAAAAGGATACAGCAGTTGCACTTAAACTATACATACTAATGTGATCTACTATTTACATGTTCAACTTCTTCTCGCTTCTTGACGCAGTTATAGATGTACGAGCATATGGAACCAATAATACATGATTTGTCAAGTTTCATAAGAAATCTGAATTTTTCTGCTTCATTTAAATGTCCAAAGCTGGGGAAATTATAAGAATATAGGAAATTAGGACACCACCATTAGGGCGTTGTTAGTTTGTTGAAGGCTTGGCTTTTCAAACCGTAACTGCCTACTCCTGTAAGAGAGAAGAAGCCTTACAAGTGGCATGGGCTACACAACTGAAGTACAGGATGATTATAATGAGGCCTCTTCCAAAAAGTGGTACATACTGCTTTCTCTGCTTAGCATTTAGGAAAGAGTATGGGAGTTAAACACATCACTACCAGTGGACTAGTCCCCAGTGGACTTTCACAGCTGTGTGGGGCAAAGGTCACCAATTGGCGCATGCCCAGAGGACCCAGTCTGAGACTGGGACTCAGTTTTGATTGAGTGCTGTCAAACCAACTGAAAACAGCCTTTTTCTTGGTATGTGTGGATAAATGCTGGCATTTTCCAGCTGGGGAGTTATTTCTATTTCTATTAACTTGAAAAAACTGGCTGTTAGTGTTGTTTTGGCTGCTTGGTAGAGTTCTAAAACTACTCCCATCTTCTTGTCTTTTGGTGGTCTTCATGGGGGTCAGAGGTCATGCTGCCAGTGTTTGCATTTGCCGTGCTATGTATCGCTGGTCAAAAAGTTAAATTTTTGGACTAAATGGACAATTTGGAAGTTGGACTACCCTGTCAGTGTGTGTTTGCAATAGTTGAACACTCAAGTAGGTGATTGTTGACAGCTCAGTTCTTAGATGTTTTCAAATAGTATATATTCCAATAGGGGCTGGAATCAGTGGGCTGTCCCCTGTGGCCCAGGGCTATTGAAAACGTAGATGAGCACTTCCCTATGCGTCACTTGATACCGGACGACTCTTTAACTAACTTAACTCTTCCAAAGACTCCCGGCTTTTAGGCTCAGTTTTCATAAAGGAAATATTATACTAATCACCACCATACTGACGTCAGGAAGCCGAGTGAAAAATAAATTTTGCCTATAAGAGGAAATCTAATTCTCCAGGGGAGTTTGGCCACCATAGGGTTCCATTTACCAGTTATTTACGCTTATTTTTGTAAAAAAATGTATAGTTTTTGTGAATTTTTATTCCATCTTATATTCACATCTCATGCAAAGAGCAAAGGTCCCACCTCTCAGTGCGATTGTAATGAAAAGAAGATTGAGCTTTGCTGGACATGTGTGGAGACTCCCTGACCTCAGAACCACAAAAACAGCTCTAACATGGAAGCCAGAAGGCACACGCCCGAGAGGGCGGCCTAGAGTCACCTTACGGAAAACACTACAAAATGATGGGGTAAAACTTGGACTTAACTCACTTAAGGATATGGCAGTAGTAGCGCAAGACCGAAACCTTTGGAGAAAAAAAGGCAGACAAGGAGTCGACCTATGCAACAAGGTTGCGGGAGGATCTAAGGTCTAAGGTAAGGTTATATTCACAACTGCTGCACCTACCGGTACACATAAATGGAATAAAATTTGAGTTAAATGTGAGTCGAAGTTGTCTTTCAATCACGCCCCGACCACTGCTATTGAACTACTCCCAACCACCAGCCAACCAGTCTCCAACCATGGCCCGACTTTAACCTCCTGTCCAACCATGTTTTTAAAGTTTTGAAACATTTGGCGGCTGTCGCAGCCGAACAGTATCCAACCACCCCCGAACACCAGCCAACCACAGCTGACCTTGCTCCCAGCAAACCACGA